AATTTTTTTTGGGGGGGGGGGGGGGATAATGTCAGTCACAATTGTAACTGGTGGGATAATGTGTGTACTGTATTTCTGCAGTCTTAAACATTGTTATATATCTTAGCCCAGCTATTTGAAACTGTTTGATCACATTCTAGGGTTACTGTTATGCATAAAAAAACCCTTGTACCACATTGATAGCAATACTGAGATCAAATACAAAAAAATACAACCATCAACGCATTTCAAAATGTTTACTTTTTTGTAACATATATCATCACATTTTTATATTAGTGCTACCAGTATTACAACATTAATATTCTAACTTATTTGTAACATTTGAACTTTTGATTTAGTGCAATATTTTGTACTGCCAGTGAATGGCTGTTGCATGCATTAAATGCAACCTTTACATGATTATATATTATCTTTCAACGTTCAATTTAAATAATTGTAATTGCACAAACTATGTAGGCTACAATTTCAATTTGTTTATTGTGAAATAACTCAAACATTTATGTTTTTTTTTCTGTCCTCTGATAAGCAGTGCTCAGGGCTGCCATTCCATAAAGCTTTAATGCTTTCTTATGATACTTTTGGGAAACGCAGCCCAGTTTGAATGCACTGTCAGCAGTGAGTGAACGCTCTCTGTGATGGATTGGCTCTGTGTGTTCAGATGAGCAGGAAAATAGTTCTATCCTACACAATTACTCGCTAACAAAGGATATTCGTCCAATTCAATGCATATTATGCAGTCCAATAACGCATTATTATTATTATTATTATTATTGTTAAATAAACAAAACCACTGGTAAATAAAACGCACATTAGTATCGATATTTTTGTTTGAGTATCGATACTTTCGATACTCGCGTCAGTGTCGATATATCGGTACTTCGGATCGATACCGTGGATGCAGATCACACTTTGGATTCATTCAAACAGTTTGGTTTGAAAACATAATGACTGTACATATTTGCGCATCGTGTTGGAATCAAAAGGTCTGACAGCCGAGGGCACGTTCAAACCGAAGTATTAAGAAAAGAAAAATCGCACTCGCGGAGGACTCGAGTTGCAACCTTTTAGCCGCAGAACCTTCGAATCGAGAACCGCGCGCGCGGTAAGAACGCTCGAATGTGATGTTCAGACACGCTTATAATCTCCAAAAATACTATTAGTTTGCTGAGGCCGCCCGCTATTTTTGTTCACCGCATCATTAACGACATCAGCATAACCCCTCCATGTCCGCAAAAACAGGCCACCGTTTCCAAATCCTGAGGTTTGGGCCGCATTTATTAGTTTAGAGTAAGATGAAAGATCAAAGCGGAGGCAAATATCACAGGTAGATCGAATCTTAACGATTTTAAACCTCGATGAGCCGATCGCGGACGCGAAAGCGTCTATTGTGTCAGTGCGGCTAAGCGGCTAATGCTAGCTAGCACCCTTCACCAACACGATCACTTCTCACTCACCCACGTAGTGCACGACACACGTCTGTCCTTTTTTAGGGAAGGTACTTCCTACAATTCAAAACAAGAGGAGAAAGATGATCAAACTGAACGGCAAATCCTGTGGGAAGAGGTTAGTGTGTAGTTAGCTAGCAGGCTAACGCCCGTGTTGCCCAGA